TGAATGTGTGCGTGAATGGGTGGATGACTGGATATGTAAAGCGCTTTGGGGTCCTTAGGGACTAGTAAAGCGCTATATAAATACAGGCCATTTACCATTTTTACCAGTTACCATAATAATGAAAGCCCACTTCAGTTACTTGAGGTCTCAAGGCAGGAGCATCCTTAATGAGTTCATGACATCATTGATCCTGTAATTTCTATCATTGTCCAGTTTCATCAAACCCATCCTTGACACTGGTGAAACCAGGTTACTGTGGCTACACACAGTCTGCTTTTAGATAATGATATGGTCATGTCAGTCTATTAGAGGTAGTATTAGTGTTCTCACAGTCCAGTAGGGATGTGACAGTTTAATCTGTGCCTTTTCTAAAAGGGCCATTCAGTGATTTTCACACCAGTCCTTTATTTATTGTTTCTTGCCTGTATTTGAAGAGTAACAGTTTAAAATTTAACACATTTAACTTTTGTATCTGGTCTCCAGTCAAAGAGGATTTCAGCCAAAGATGCCCTGGCTCATCCTTATCTAGACGAGGGTCGACTTCGCTACCACACGTGCATGTGCAAATGCTGCTATACCACATCCTCGGGTCGCGTGTACACCAGTGACTTTGAGCCCATCACTAACACCAAGTTTGATGATGGCTTTGAGAAGAATCTGAGCTCTGTAAGACAAGTCAAAGGTAAATTTGTTTGCTCTTTTTGTTTCTATTTGCAAGGCGCATAAACATCAACAAAAATAAACCCTGCAGCCCTGGCTTTGATAGATGAAAATAAGTTAATAGGACTGACAGACACTTGGGTTAAAAATTGAAAGTCTGCTTCTTCCTTACAAACATTTTAACCCAACTGTCATATTAACAATGGAGATCATTATCAATTCAATTTTATTGACATAGCAGCAAATCGCAGCAATACCAAGGTGCTCAGTATTGTAAAGACTCTACAATAGTGCAAATCTAGCCTTGGGCTTGTTGTGTACCTTGAATTTGCTGCTTTACTGCTATTTTGATGAGATATCATTGCAGGAGCTCAGAGATTCCCAAATATAAAGAGGGACATGCTGCTACAGCTTGAAATATTAGACTTTCAGGATAAAACGTTGAAACTCCTTGACTTCTGTGCATCCTGTTTTATTTCTTCTACTCCAATACCAGTGCTAAGGCAATGATTTTCTTTTTTCTGAGTGGTAACACTGGTAACAAGACTGCAGCAAGATAATAAAGACAAGAAAACATAATTCTGATCTTTATGTAAGCATGGGAAATATATTTAAAAAAACTTCACAATGGCTTTAGATTAGGATCATTAATAATGAATGATGATTGCGTGTTTCTCTTACAGAAATTATCCATCAATTCATTTTGGAACAGCAAAAGGGAAGTAGAGTACCACTCTGCATTAATCCTCAATCAGCTGCTTTCAAAAGCTTCATCAGGTAGGAGACTCTGTAATTGTTAGCAGTATGAACACACACTAATACTAAATATTGTGTACATGAGTTACAGATACTGTACTGTGCCAAAGTCTTGATCCACCCTGCTTTCTGGGAGCCAGACTTTTTTTTTCTTGAGCAACAGTCCTATAGACTTGCTGAAGGTCTTTCTAAAGGTTTTCTCTGGACATTGGTTGCTTTTTTGTCCCATTTTCAGGCCAGTTCTTGTACCTGAGCATTTTGATGACTGATACAGGAACAACACAGGACGTGATAAATGCATCTGTTGTTCACTTAATCTTCAACAGAAATGCAAGTCAAGGAGATATTTTAGGGAGAAAAGGCTAAAGTATGCCAAATTACACAAGAACTGGACTTAAAATCAGGAATAACAGGTCTTGTGAATGAATCCAAATTTGAAATTTATGCTTGAAATTGTCATCAGTATGCACAGAGAATATCAGGAGAGAGATACAGTGAGTGTCTACAGAAATCTGACTTAGTCATGGTTTGGGGCTCCATATCAGCCTGTGCTGTTGGAGATCTTGTCAAATTTAATTGAATTATGACCACAGAAAAGTACCATCAGCATTTGATCCACCATACACTACCATCTGGAAACACCTAATTGGCAAGGACTTCTTTGTTAGTATGGCAAGGATCCCAAACACACTGCCAATGTCATAAAATCCTGGATGAACACACACATACACACACACTCACATAAAATCTGTAAAAGACCTTTTTCTGGTGTAATAAGCCATTTCCAGTGAGGCCACCATGACTGTCACATTTAAAAAACAGCAAATAAGTTAATGTTACGTGGTTAGTGGCCATATTCCATATTTTGCGCATCATTTTACAGATGAATGAACACAAATGTTTGTACATGAGGCCTAAAGAAAGTAATGATGATAAGCCTGTCTGAATTTGTAAACCTTCCCCACTTACCATAGAAAGAGTCAGACATGCTATTGAGAAGATCAGCAACATGCCATTGTGAACTAGCATGCATGTGGCTCCTCTAAGTAGTACACTACTATCATTAACTCTAGCAGTTAACGTTGGTGGTATTAAACCTTTGTGTCCAACTAACAAATGTTTTACTCTCAACTAAATATTGCTAATATTAACTCCTTTCACTTAATGCCCTGTTTTTTGAACAGCTCCACAGTGGCTCAGCCCTCTGAAATGCCTCCATCTCCGCTGGTGTGGGAATAGCTACTGTTTTGTGTCGTTGTTTTTCCTGACTGACAAGCTGCTAAACTGGGAACAAGAAAGGGTCTCAGTGTCTTCTGTCATCTGTGTAGCATTTCACTGGAGAACAGGACTCACAGGTCTGCTGGGTCTATGCTGAAAAATGGAATCAAAGAAAGGTCCACTGATAATTGCTTTATGGAAATTAATGACAGAAAAGCTCTGTATAATGCTTTGTACAGAATTTTTCTAAACAAACTGAGAACATACACACATCATACATATATATATA